AATATTCTAGGTTCATCCCGAAATACACTATTAGTATTAGGGTTGATTCAGTATACACATACTTCGTATATATGTACATGTTTATCTGTAATGTACAGTTAATCCGCTAATATTCATATAAATACCATATTATCTATGTATCAGTATCAATATTTGTTGCATTACGGTTGAGACATTACGTTATCACCTTATTGCTATTTTATGAAGGATATGTATTCGTTTGTTGGTAATACTCAAAACGTGTCGTATTCGGACTAGTGTTTCGAGTGTTTTTTAGGTGATATATTACTGTAAATTTTGCAATAGAAACAGAAAAATGCTTCAACATTCAGTAGACGGTGGATTGTTTCCGCATCGTTTTTCGTTGAAAGCTATTGCATTTGTAAGATTGGAATTGTCTATGTGTTCTTGTTGTTGCAGTGTTATACGAAGTAATTGTTTGCCCAATGCACAGATGCAGTTGCGTTGTTCGTTGCACTCTATCATCTTAATACCATGTTTCTTTCCTATCATACCCAAATTGTAGTTGTTCATTAATGGTATCTTGTTTGATGTTACTGTCTTATGGTTGTTCATTTTGTTTTTCTTAACATTGAAGTTGATGCTAGTGTAATCACCGTATCATTATGAGCGTTATTTTGTTTGTTAGTTTGTTGTCAGCTTGTCCGACATTTCGATGATATTATTTTTCTTGATGATTATTACCCAGCATGACGAATTCTTTTCACCGGAATATTTGCTTCAAATGTGTACATTTTTTCTTTATTTTTCTACTAATTCCTTCCTTATTTACTGTTATTTTTAGTCACTCAATTGTTATCATATATTTACACGTGCGTATATCCATGCTGTTCGCATGCTTTCAAGTTCATTATATTATTATTATTATTATTATTATTATTATTATTATTATTATTATTATACATTATTACTATTATTATTACTTTTAATATGTTTATTATTGCAGTTGCTATTATTTCTATTGTTGATATAAGGCCACCACCAGTATGTTATCACTATCATTACTATCACATTAAACTTATCCGATTTTTATTTTTCATCAGCAACATTCATAACAGATCATCATGAAGAGAGCATCTTTGAATATTGAACATCTAAGCAAACTCATCAAACAGTCCGTTCTACCGATGGTTTCCCGTGAAATTTCACTCCAGAGCATTATTGCCAACGAATTTTAGAAGTCGATTTCACGTTCGATAAAATGCGTCAGCTTTGTGAGGGCAGAATAGAAGCGATACCAGTATTGATCAAGTAATCGTTACCATTACTTGTTGCTTGAGATTACGTTTTATCGATATCGTTCAATGAACTCCACTGCCAGGTGATTAGCTGTAAAGTGGGAAATTCGAATAATTATGAAATTTCGCCTTTATCGCTGTTAGTTTTTAAAGTTTTTCTATGCGCAATCGTCCACGTTCCGTTTGGTTGCCTTATATGAATTGTTGTTGTTGTTAATATAATATTACGCTATTGGAGGTTCGATTAACTTTTCATTTGTTTTATTCTCAAAGTGAATCCGTTTAACGTTGATTCATTGATATTCTTCTAGTTAATGGTAACATCATTATTAGTAGTAATAACCAGTCAATAGTTGACTGGTTATTACTACTAATAATGATGTTACAAACATTCTATTTTCGTTGATGCGCGCTTTTCTAGTTAATATAATATTCTGCAATGCTGTTGTTGTTCATCTGTGTGCTTGTCGTTCGATTGAATGTAATTTGCGGAATATTGAAACAAATTTTCTTGGATAAAAGCGTACTGTCAATGTGTCTGTCACCTTACATCGATCATATCCACAACACCATCTTTCTGTAGGCAATTCACTGATTTATTCTGAACGTAATTTTGTAACGACTATACGCACTTGTCGTTAATCTTTTAATCTCAAACTTGGGTAATTAAACCATAGCCATAGCATTCATAGGAAAATGTAATCGATAATGATAACGACGTAAACAACAACATTCATAATGACGACAGTGTTATACTAACAGTAATAATAACATTATTAATGATAACAACACCTCGCGATAATATCTCTTAAATTCAAAATTTCCAATTACTTATTACTGATTTCGAATTAATCTTAACTGTTATCAATATTGTGACCTTAACTATTAATATCATTAGTCATCTTAACTATTAGTAATACGGCTTACAATAATCTACAACGATACAGATAAACCGTACAGAACAAGAAATGTGGGATGAATGATTCGCCATTCTTACTTTCGATATTCATATTCTCATGTTGTTCTTATTCGTTTCTATTAATAATCCTTATGATGGCTTATATTTGATGCCCTTCTTATCGCATTTCCTATCTTGCCTTTGTTCAGTCTCCTTATGGTAACGTTGTAAATTCATGAATCATTTTCTTTTCGTATTTTAAACTCTTTTCCTTTTCGTGATTATCTAATCACGACAAATTTCACCCAACACTCGTCATGTTCTTCAGTCGCGATCATAACGAGATTCACCCGTGAATCCTAAATTGGAGCAGTTCGCACTCGGAACCGCACAAGGTTAAAGCACACTTAGAACTCACTGCGAGTCCATCCAGTCTCAGCTACAAACCGTACAAACTTTTAAAACTCGCCGCGAACCCTTCCTATCCTAACTGTACCTACCTGTAAAACTCCCCCGCAAACCCTTAAAATCTCAACTGTACGTATCTGTAAAGCTTAATCGCGAACCCTTCCTATCCCAACTGTACGTATCTGTAAAACTCACCCGTCAACCCTTCCAAACTCAACTGTAAGTACCTGTAAAACGCTCCCTCAAACTCTTCCAATCTCACCTCTACGAACCTGTAAAACTCACCCGCGAACCTTTAAAATCTCAACTAGCTACTTGTGGATTTTTTCGGAATCAGCTTCGAACGTGAACCCGTGTTTTTAGCGGCTAGAAGTGAGGGAAGGACCTAGTAGCCTAGGCAGTTAAAAGGACATTTCTCGATATCTAGCGTAGGTCAAGTTATAAGGGTTTGAAATTTTGAAATTTTCGAAAAATTTTCGAAAATATTTTTGCTTGTATCAAAACAGCCGTATGAGGCGGGGACCTAATATTAAAATTTTGAATGACAGTAGGGAAGATATTCGTCCCGGTAGTGCTAACTCAAAAAAAATTCGAATTTTTCTCACTTTCGAAAATTTTCGAAAGTGAGGGATGACCTAGTAGCATAGACAGTTAAAAGGTCCTCCCTTCAATTTTAGCCGCTTAAAACACGTTCGAGGCTGATTCCAAAAAAATCCACAGGTGGAGCTATGCCTGTGATGAAAATTTCGAAGAAATTTTTGATGAGTTGACACTACCGGGACGAGGATCTTCCCTACTACTAGGGTTCGCGGGTGAGTTTTACAGGTAATTACAGTGAAGATTTTAAGTGGTCGCGGGTGAGCTTGACACGTACGTAAAGGTGAGATTTTAAGGGTACGTGGGACAGTTCCAATTTCAACTGTAGCACCTATAAAACAAACCCGAGGACCCTTCCACTGTCAACTGTATATACCTGTAAAACTCACCCGCGAGCCCTTCTAATTTCAACTGTGGTACCTGTAAAATTCACCCTCGAACCCTTCTAATCTCAACTGTAGCACCTGTAAAACTCGTCCGCGAACTCCTAAACACCCAAGCATACGTAACTGTAGAAATCACCTGCGAACCCCTAAAATCCCACCAGGTAATACCTGTAAAACTCACCCGCGAACCCTTCTAATCTCAACTGTAGCACCTGCAAAACTCACCCGCGAATCCGATCTCAGCTACATGAACCTGTGAAACTCAACCGAGAACCTTCAAAATCTCCCTTCTACGAACCTGTAAAATTCACCCGCCTACCCTTCCATTCCCAGTTTTACGAACCTGTAAGACTGACTCGTGAACCCTTAAAATCTCAAATGTACCTACCTGTAAAGCTCATCCGCGGACCCGTAAAATCTCAACCTTACGTGCCATTAAAACTCACCCGTGAACACTTAAAATCTCAACTGTAGCAACTGTAAAACTCATCCGCGAACCCTCCCGATCCCGATTGTATGAACCTGTAAAAATCATCGACAAACCCCCAAAATATCAATTTTTCTTCCCTGTATAACTCACCTATGAACCCTTGTAATCTCAACTGTAGCCGCTAGTAAAACTCAGCCGGGAACCTTTCCAATCTTAACTCTATGAACCCGTAAAACTCACCCGCGAACCCCTAAAATCTCAACTGTAGATGCCTGTAAAGCTCAGCCGGGAACCCTTCCAACCTCAACTCTACGAACCCATAGAACTCACCCGCGAACCCCTAAACTCTCAACTGTTGTACCTGTAAAATCACCAGCGAACCCTTCCAATTTCAACCCTATAAACCTGTAAAACTAACCCGCGAACCCCTAAACTCTCAACTGTTGTACCTGTAAAATTCACCAGCGAACCCTTAAACTCTCAACTGTACGGACCTGTAAAAATAACCCGCGAACCCTTCCAATCTCAACTCTATAAACCTGTAAAACTCAACCGCGGACCCTCAAAATCTTAACTGTAAGAACCAGTAAAACTCACCCGCGGAATTTCCAATCTCAGCTGTAGTATCTGAAAAACTCACCCGCAAACCCCTAAAATCTCAACTGTAGGTGCCTGTAAAACTCACCCGGGTTTCCTTCCAATCTCAATTGTGTGTACCTGTAAAAGTCACCAGCGAACCCTTAAAGTCTCAACTGATCGGACCTGTAAAACTAACCCGCGAACCGTTCCAATCTCAACCCTATGTACCTGTAAAACTCATCCACGGAAACTTCCAATCTCAGCTTTAGAATCTGTAAAACTCACGCGTGAACCCCTAAAATCTCAATTGTAGGTGCCTGTAAAACTCATCCGGGAACCCTTCCAATCTCAACTCTATGAACCCATAAAACTCACTCGCGATCCCTTAAAATCTCCACTGCAAGTACCTGTAAAACTCACTCTCGAACCCTTCTAATCTCAACTGTAGCACCTGTAAAACTCATCCGCGAACCCTCCCAATCTGAAATGTACCTACCTGTAAAACTCGCCCGCGAACCCCTAAAATCGCAACATCACGTATCTGTAAAACTATTCCCGATTGTAAGAACCTGTAAAAATCACCCACGAACGCCTGAAATATCAAACGTAGGTGCATGTAAAACTCACCCGTGAACCCTTGGAATCTCAACTGTAGTACCTGTAAAACTCACCTGCGGACCCATATAATTTCAACTGTATTACCAGTAAAACTCACTCACGAATCCTTCCAATCTCGACCGTAGTAACCGTAAAACTCACCCGCGAACCCTTATAATCTCAACTATAGTCCCTGTAAAACACACGTGCGAATTCTTCCGGTCCCAGTTGTACGAACCTGTAAAACTCAGCCGCGAACCCTTAAAATCGCAACATCCGCGAACCCTTATAATCTCAACTATAGTCCCTGTAAAACACACGTGCGAATTCTTCCGGTCCCAGTTGTACGAACCTGTAAAACTCAGCCGCGAACCCTTAAAATCGCAACATTACGTATCTGTAAAACTCACCCGTGAACCCCTAAAATCTCAATTGTAGGTGCCTGTAAAACTCATCCGGGAACCCTTCCAATCTCAACTCTATGAACCCGTAAAACTCACCCGCGAACCCTTAAAATCTCCACTGTAAGTGTCTAAAAAACTCACCTGCGAACCCCTAAACTTTCAACTGTAAAACTCACCCGCGTCAAATGTACGAAACTGTAAAACTCATCCGGGAACCCTTCCAATCTCAACTCTATGAACCCGTAAAACTCACCTGCGAACCCCTAAACTCTCAGCTGTAAAACTCACCCGCGTCAAATGTACGAAACTGTAAAACTCATCTTGGAACCCTTCCAATCTCAACTCTATGAACTCGTAAAACTCACCCGCGAACCCTTAGAATCTCTGTCATAGTTACCTGTAAAACTCACCGCGAACCCTTAAAATGTCAGCTGTGAACTGTACGTGCTTTTAAAACTTCTAATAGGTTCATTATCAGTAGTTTTTCTGACATTTCGTAAGTGCAGACTTGTCATCGCAAAACCTTTTGTGTACTATCGCTCATTTTCATTACTCGTTTCACTGTACTTCACAAGTTCGATTGGCGTTTATGATTGTTGAAGGAAAAACTGTTTGAGGAGTTTCTTCAGTCAGATGAGTTGTGATAAATATTCATTTTGTATTTCGTTTGGTAACAAGCGCGTGCAATATTTGTTTTTTTTCTGTCGGTATTTAGCTTAAGTCATCACATTCAGATCACAGTGAAGCACAGGGCAAATGAAGTCGAAGAAATACGACAATAATTTAAACAAATAACTGAAAATAACTGTCAAGTAATTGATATAATAAATTGATAATGAATGATATAAACAAGGAGTAGAAAGAAAACAAAATAAGAGAGCAGCAGCTACCTACTAACGTCAGTATATTATAGACGCATTTATAGACGTGATTAGTATTGTTCGTGCTCATATTTTAAGTAAACATGAAAACTGGAGACAATTTGCCAGTGATGATGAAGTTGTTCATCGGCTTTTTCTTTCCGGAAAAAACCCCATGATTCATAAGATTGCGTGATCTAAATCATCTCATCGGATTCGATCTATGCATTTGATTTCTTGTTCACCGATGAAATCGATGAAAACTTCTTTCGTTGGTGTATCAGCGAAAAGCTCAGTCATCAGCCATTTTGGCCGATGCTACAGATCAGGACACCTTCTCGGCTCTTGATTGACGAAGGCCGATAAATTTCCTTTTAATTTTCGTTGCATTTGAAGTGGAGACACTGAACAATAACGTTGCAAGTGCATTTCTACGAGGATATTCGAATGAATGTGCACAACACAACAAACACGTTCACAGTCTACAACAATATTACCAATAAAAGTACCAGTAATTGGTTATGTTTTCGACGGAAACATACAAGCACGATAGACACACAGTGAAACAACAACGAATGAACGAAACAGTCAATTATAAAACGCCATTATTATTATATTCATTCACAATTGGCAGAGACGAGCGAGCGTGAAGGAAGATGTTTCTCGTATGCAAGCAAGCACTTTTCACTTTAGCAAAACGCAGAGCCGACTGATATTTTCGGAGGATGCATTCGACAACGCTCCGATTTGCTTATTCTCGAACACTAAATTAAACAGCGATCCCGAGAAAAAGATCCGCGTTTAATGTATTTGCTAGTCTCATATAGTCGGGGTTATTAACAGTAATTATATGATCCAACACTACAAAACTTCTGACTTCCTTTTCGGTTTAGTCAAAGTTTGTTCAAAAAATTGTCTGTTTTTGTCTAATTTTTCTTTCTTCGACGGGGAAGTTGATAACCGAATATATCAGCCTCACAAGTAGCACTCATAATTCGCACAAAATATTTTCGTCGAGAAACATAAAGCATAAATTAACGAATCAGGCGAGTATCTCGTCCGGCCGACTGATTCGCGATAATTTCGAAATGATGAAAGAATGATCAACTTCTGATCAAGTGATCATCCCAAACAGATTACATCTTCTAATAAATATTTTATCGATCACAACGTAACGAAACAAATTAAATGTCTAATCGCAGAACAAACACTCCAGATTACTGATAAACTGTGATTTTACCACATATCTTTTGTCGACATGTTGGACAATGGTCGAATCGGTTACCGCACACTTCACAGCAAATGAAATGAGAACAGGGCATATATAACATTTGCGGCTGAAATCTCATCTTATTTCACTTCATTGCTTATTAAGAAAGTTCGCTCTCTCTCAACTACATCATTACCACGAATGGAGTTTGCTAACGATAAGCACTTAACATATTCCACTAATTCATTGTGATTGAAATCAACACAAAATTTCACCCTCACTATGAACAATGCTAACTGGCAGTGGTTTGTAACATTCTCGAAAGTGTTATGAAACATAACAAAAAATAGTAAATAAATGAGATTCGAGCGATGAAATTGTTGGGAATGCACCAATAAGAGAAACTGACCCGTTTATCCAAACAAATCACACAGGTAGGTACTTTACTGAGTGTTGAACGCACTTCGTCACGTTCTAAACGAATCTGCTCGATACGTTGTTCAGCTTTCAATATCTCATCATGATAATTACTGCATTTATCTAATTCAGCTTGTTTTGTAGCTAGCTGCAAGTTGAATCATTTCTCATTCCATGTCACACTAACTGTCATTCTGAAAGGTATTTCAGGCGAAATTCTACCAAAAACACACTTTCCTATAAATGCGTACCTGCTTCTTGAGTACATCAATTTCGAGAAGAAGTTTGGCATTCTTCTCGACTAACGGCTTATTTTCTCCTTCAGCCAGACTTAACTTCTTCACCAGCCCATCGATTATCTGAATATATCACATTCTCAAAATAGCTAAGTTTAGTAACTCAATTTAGTCATGAATGAAAGACAGTAATAATAGTAACAATGAAAAAATAGTCTGTGATCATGATGAAAGGTTTATTAATAATTAGCGAATGCAACAAAAACACCTCTTCTTTCTGACGAATATCCAATTCGTGTTGTCGTTTGACCATTTCAGCCTCCTCGCTGAGAACTCGGATTTGATTAGCCTTACTCTTGTCTTCGAGTATCTTAAAACAAGCGCCTCTCAAATAATATCCTTACACCGCCACAAATGCCTCCTTCTGTGCTGAACAACAAACAAACCTGCTTATTCAGCTCATTTTCAGTCTTCCGTAATTGCTCTTTTACGCTTGCATAATCGCTCAATTGGATCTTCAACGATCGAATCTCATTCTCTCGATCCAATAAGTTCGTTTGAAGATTCGCTTGCTTATCAGCAAATTGCTTACACTTCTCCTGAAAAACATACTTGAAGCAGGTGAGCAGCAATGATTAAGTAAGTAATTCACTACCTCTCACTGAAACCAATCACTCGTTACCTCAAGCGTTTCAATAGAACGTTTCGATTCATCGCCAAAACTTTTCTGCTCCTTCTCAAAAGCGTCCAGCAACCTCTGCAACTGAAACTGTGACGGGCTGAAGCGGTAACGCATTTCGTGAATTGGCATTGCCGAAGTCAGATCTGAAATCGTCGAGATTATTCATTTGATTCAGTGGAACAGTGAAATGGCTCAAGTTATTCCTCTCATCCTGCACAGCTTTTCCTATGCTATTATAAACCATAGCGATTCAATGCCAATTCAATTGGTAAATCTTGACATTGAATGCACCATCCAATAACTCCATCGCGGACACACTTCGAATCATCACCGACAAAAAATTGGCTTATACTCATCAACATAGTCTATTTCTCAGCTATAATTAGCTACTTTTTATAGAAATCCGGCCTAAAATTATCAAAATAAACAAATTTTCAGCAAAAAATGGCTATTATTAATAGAAATTTGGCTTGAATCTATCAAAATAGTCTACTTTTGTGCTGAAAATGGCTATTCTTAGTAAAAATCTGGCCAAAGACTATCCAAATAGTCAATTTCTCAACTAAAAACGGCCATTTTTAGCAAAAAATTGGCCATTTTTTCATACTGCCGCCTAACATCTGAACCATTGAACCACTCATATTGGTCACATACATTTGATCGAGCAAGCTTCTGATTTCAGTGCACTTTTCTAACAGAAAGTTGCACTGAAATCAGAAGCTTGCTCGATCGAATGTATGTGACCAATATGAAAATGACTGAAAAACAGCTGCCCGTGTTAATTCTGGAAGGGTGGAAAGTGAAAGAACTAACCATCATAATTAGCACTATTCCTATTGGTTGACGATGTAGTGGTATTATGAAAAGATGTCGCTCGTCTGACACCAACTCCCGAAGATGTGGATGTTCGAGGCGGCGAGATGCGCGACGAATAACAACTAAAATTCGGTGATGTTCCATAATGACGTTGTTGTGAGAGACTTGATTTTATCATTGGATGAATACCACTAAAGATTACGATCGATTATGATTCTGTTATTCAATGGAAATTGCAATTGAAAGTTACGTTCGCATTCGAACAAGAATCACGATCGCTTTCAGTTTTTATCTTTCTTCCATTGCTTACAGTAAATGTGCTTAGGTAGTGTACATCAGGTCAATAACATCTGAACGTCATTATCATTACGTTGGTGGTGACAAATAGAACTTTTCAATATATCAAATTTGAATTGTCCACTTTTGAAATTACTGATGATTGACACGAAATGTTTCTGGCGAACACTGGCGGAGCTGCGTTTTACAGTGCCTTGCGTCAGGATGATTTCGCTATCTTCAGCACTCAGCAGCTGATTCATTGCTAACATTTTAGTCTAACTCCTGATTCGATGCTGATTTATCGTCTTGATGATATATTGCACGCTCAGCATGACGCTATATCAGAAATTCTCGTCCTTGCGATTTGTTCATAGTTTATCTGATATGTATAACAGAAATTTCGCATGTATTTGATGGTTGCTTGATCCAACAACTGATGAACGATCGAAATATTATCGATGAGCATGACTCAGAATGAAAACAACTTCATCATTTAGTCGCCGATGTAAAGCAAACACTGTGAATCATCATGTGGTTTCGTGAAATTGAGACTTTTTTGCTTGATCGCCAAACTAAGAAGGTAACTGGCCAATGCGTTCATGATTGAAAACAATTTTCGAATGAAACATCTGGTCGATTATTTAAACTAGGCTCGAGTAAGGGATCCTACAGAGATCCGGATCCCAAGTTGGTAGGTTCAGGAGCCCTACCCTCTACCTCTGAGGGTCCTGATCTCGGAAAACTTTGAGCAATTACAAGAAATCGGGGGCCTCCGACCGTACCCTCAAAAATTCCGATCACGCAGACCTCCGAATCCGATTTCGACCCAACGTGAATTCAGGTAATAATATCTCTGAGGCTGCTATAAATGATATCACGTGAATTCAGGTAAGAATATAAGAGAGGTTCGGAGGGTACGTGTATATTCAGGGCAGTGATTTCGAAAAAAAACGAATGGATACATCATAAATAAAGACAGTAAAAGATAACTGAGTTGCATTCGTATCACCGATAAGTGAAATGAACACAAACAAACCTTTTATCAAGTTCGAGTCCACTGTCGGCCGAACAAATCATACTGCTACCATTATAGCAGCCGACAGCACTACCTGATGTTGACTTATTATCACACATCCGTTGCACTCGTGATAGCATATCGATCATTGCGTTTGTTGACGAGAATGGTTTAAATGACTGCAAATCACTGGATTAGTCTGTTTGTGAAATCTTCAACTGAATACAAAAAGGAAAAAGATGTTCAGGAATAAATCAGTTCAATAATTGATCTAATGAATGTTGAAGAAAGCTCTTTATAAGGAGCTGTCAACGAAAGCATCCAAATGGTATCTGCATATTCAACTCAAACATAAACAGCTTTCATAAAAAAAAGCCAGCACATTACATGAATATAATTCATGTTATATTACTATTCACAACGTCTAAACGTGCAAACATTTCAGTATCAAATTAACATCATGCGCCTCATGGAAGAGGATCCCACATGAACGAACTAAAGCATGAACCTGCTTAAAACAAATGGGCTCAACGGTGCTCGGTGAAGTCGGTAGGGTTGTCAATTCGCCTCTAATGCTACTGAGAGTGACGTCTTCAGGAATAAGTGGAAATACTGTGGGATAAGCACTGTCCGAGCGGTGACAGGAATGGAGAGGTGCTCTGCCAGAAGGAAGTGATTCATTATTAGCATAAGTTACGGTGGTGTCATCAGTGCTGATAGCACTGAATGTATCAGTGATGTTATCAGTATCGGTGTTCTTTATTGCCCCATTATGATTCTCGTTATCCTTGTCCTTACAATAGCAATTATAATTAATGTTACTGTTTTTACGACTGCTATGAACGTCATTATCATTACTGCAACGGCAGTTACTGCTGTTTTTGTGAGTATTAATAGCAAAGTTATCACTGATATTTGTTGAATGATTTTTGTCAGATGAGGATTTGAATCGTTTCACGCAGTTGAACAGATCAGCTGTCTTGAACGAATTCATGGGCGATGATAACATTGTTGGCAAACAACGAATATTGTCGGCAGTTCTTAATTCACACACCAAATGGGTGATTAACATTTCACGAGTACCTTCATCAAACAAGTAATTGCACGCGTTACACTTATCACCTAAATGTCAATAATATATTAACAAACGCATTTCAGAGCTCATTCCACCACCTACGAATATGCACATCCAATGAGGAACTGATACTACGAATAGAATATAGTCAAAAGCAACAATAACTGCCGACGTTCTCTTTGTAGCTGCAACTCGACGTTTCTTAAGTAACGTACTATTCACTGAATACAAGTGATGACATACATCATAATAGATAGTTTCATCTTGATGAAATCCTTTCAAATGCTCGCGGTTCGCATTCGAATAGTTTTTCCTCATAAGTGAGTTAATAATGGGCCCGAGCTGTTTCTCAGCTAACAATTACTCCTAGTATTGTGCACCAACAGAGTTTTATTTAAAATTAGATGAGTATTAATTGTTCTGAGCGTGGATGGTGAGGGAGAGGAAAATATTCCCAAAATCATCTTATAATTTGCAGAAAAAAGTGATGCTGATGAAAACGTCGAAGTTGGAAGGAGAACCATAATTTAACGAGCAATTTTGCAGGGAAGAATGAATCAATAAATGAAAAAAATACTATAATTACGATACCGCGGACGAATTAAAAAAGTCAGAAGGAATATAAAGGCATTTATTTCTCTTTTAGAATGAACTGATTCTTCTTAGAAAAGGTAGAAATATTGCTATATGTCGATGAGATGAAAAGATAAAATAAGCTAATTTAAAGAAGTAAAGAAAATATCGAAAGAGGAACCGAAAACGTTGTTGACGGTAAATAACGAGTGAAGAAGTGAGTGGAGTCAATAAGTTATTAAATGGAATTGAGGCATCTAACGGAAAATGAAGTTCAATTGAATGTAGTAGCTTTCCTGAAAAGTGCACCACTCTTAGCAAATGCGCAATACGCCGAAATACTCTTGAGAAGTACTGATTGGTCGGAAGGAAAACTTGATTTCGTGCAGTTTACGAAAGTAAACGACGCGAATGTTCATTGCTAGCAAAGAAGCACACTTTTTAAATCAACAATTAAAATTGATGCAGTTGAAGAAACGGTATTAATGAAAATTCACAATTTGATGGGCTAGTCAAAAGTGTCGAAAACTGAAAAATTCGAAGTGGATTAAGGGGAGATTAGACTTAACCTTATGCTGATCTATGAGCCCGGAGTAATGCATGACCTCCGTTTCACTCTCACATTTAGGCTCAAGCTCTGGACACTTTTCATCCAGCAATATCAAACTCTGCGTTCCATCACAATTTTCGACACTTTTTTTAAGCGGACCCTATTTCAAAGTAAAGTGCACTCATAGGTCGAATTGCTTGGAGAATATTAGGTAATGTAACAACGCCTAAGCAAAATACAGATTTCAAGTCAGCTTCGAGTAAAAATGCAATTTTGGCGCTTTTTGTGTTATGCTCAAACTCGAGATTTATCAACTGATAAAAGAAAAGGTAATTGCGAAATACGGTGGATTATTCACTGCGTGATACGTTGAGTTGTTGATACGATAAACTGGGCAACGAGCAAGCAAATCACCGAAAATGATGTGTCTCTAGTAGAAATGAATTGAAAAAAGACGCTAATAGAAGACGGAAAGCGCAAATGCGAAAGTAATGTGACGAGTGAATGTTCGGTGGTTATTTATAAAGAAGTGATGAGATGATACAACTTATCTAAACACTGAGCGCTAACAAATCGGTGCAATGACCGACCGTTAATATGAACGATGATTAAATGATTGTTGTTCAAGGTATTTATAAATGATTGATTTGAATGGTGGAAAATTTTCGAAAAATGAGAAAAATATTTAATAATCGTCATTGTAGCGCGTTTAACGGTTGAAAAATATCGATGATTAAAAATATAATCAGAAAATGTTGAATGCAGATGGAAAGTGTTTCAATTTTTGTAGTTTTTTTTTCGTTTTTCCGTTAGCTTTTTTTGATGATATTGATTATACTGAACATTGAACACTTTGTATTGTTGTCATCACTATCACTGTCATTCATTATTATTATTGCTGTTGCGATTGTTGCGCACATGAAAGTGCTGTAGAAGCGAAAGTTGAACGAATGATAGTTTCTCGCAAAGCAGCAATAATGAAAGTTTTCAAATGGAATCAAATTTCAAACTGTTTCACAAACAAAGAACCTATTTGCTTATGAGTTGCAGTGATACCTCTAATATGAAAGCGAATAAGAGACGAACAGTTTCAGACCCATGAAATGAGTGAGCATTGTGCATGGTAATCGATGAAGATTTGAAAAAACACTCTTCAAAAAGTATTTTGAATACGAAGGAACTTTTTTCTTTGAAACGATTCTCGAACGCAAACACTATTAAAATCGAGAAATGTTCAATTTGAAACGATTTAAATGTGTTTTTATGGTTGATTTTTGTGAGATAATGCGATATTGCTTTTGTTGAAAAGATGAATTATTTACTTTTCCACACATCAGATAGACCAAAGAGACGATTGAATAAAGAGTGACGATAAAATATCACTCGATTCGACATGATCGCATCAACATATAAAACATTTACCGCTAACATATTGTCATTACATCGCTCACATTAACACCAACGTTAGACGCATTCATCAGGGAATTATTCGTCACTAAACATTTAGATACTTTTATCTTATAACGCACAGTGGGATCAGCGGTGAAATCGGACCTTAGAGTCGCTGAGATCAGAGGCCCCTAGAGGTATGGTATAAGGTCGCGGACTTCCAAGACCTCGCAATTACTTGTAGGTCCCCGGAGATATGGTGTATGGTTGGGCATCCCCGAAATCTCAGAAATGCTTGAGAGCCAGCAAGACCTCGTAAGTTCTCGGAGGTCCCGAATCCTACCCTCGACAGTTCCAAGTTTCAGGGATCTCCAACCCAACCCTTATGCAAAGCACCATAGACTCTCTCTAAAAAAACACCCATAAATACCACTGACAGTTTCTTCATTGTTCACAAATACGTTATCACCTTCAATATAATATCGTTTCTCAACGATTAACACAAGCCATTACCATTGTCCTTACTGTTGCTGCCATCGCGAATGGTTTTGCAGCGATATTTGATGTTTCATCCTCATCGAACAACATTTCAAATGATTATCGCTTGAGCATAATTGACTGATAAATTTACTGTCTAAAATGAATTGCCTCTTGCATGATGAATTGAAACTACAGCCACACAAAAAACTGATTTCACATCTAGAATCACAAACACCTTCACAATGATGAATTTCGCAGGTGTGGTTTCTCTGAACAAAGTGATGTGATACTACATATAATGCACATTCATAGGATGAGAGAGCTCGCGATGGCTGAGCTCGAAACGAATGAACGTTTAGGCAAATTTCAAACTGGTTAGTTACGACTCTGTGCCTGATCACATCGCGGAAAATGCTTCCTTGTCGAGAAATGTATTCAGAAAAAAAACAAACTTTACTTTAATGGTGAGAAATATGATTAGCTTTTTTTATTACAAAATATGTGATAAAATTTACCATTGTTTGCTCACGAGGATTTGGAAAAGAGGTTCGTCCGTTCATTCGTTTCTTCAGCCATGAATATTTTTTGCGCACTGACTAGAACGATGAGAATGATCTCATCACTCGAACCATTTGAACAGTCAAATAAAGATGAAAATGTTTGTTCGACTTCGACATCATAAATATTTACGAATTAAGAAGTGTTTCGAAAAACAGAAACATCCGAAAACGTTCGAAAAAAAGAGAACTGAATTACCAAAAGCGCAATCTTCCAACGGTCGAAAACTGAGAATAGCTTCAAAACAAAAACCAAGTGCAAGAGAAGTTCCGAAATTTGTCTCAATAGTGGAATCGAGTAATCACTGGAAAACTGAGTTGATGGGTAGCCGAACGACTCGAAAACTAATTGAATCGGATCATTGACTGCGAAGATATAACGAGTTCAATTTTTGCTCAGAAATGCACTCAGAACCTCGAATAATAGTTCCATTCAGTTTCTAACACTACGATCTCCATTCATCAATTGCTTAAAAACAAGCATTATTGACTTCC